TAGTAAAAGAACAATTAAAGTTGGAACATATAAAGCCCTCCACTTCTCCATGGAATACACCCATATTTATTATTAAAAAGAAGTCTGGAAAATGGTGGTTGTTACACGATCTACGGGCCATTAATGCTCAAATGCAGCTCATGGGACCCATTCAGAGAGGTTTGCCTTTGCTTTCAACAATTCCAAAAAATTGGCCAGTGATATGTATAGACATTAAAGATTGTTTCTTTTCCATTCCATTGCATCCTCAGGACTCCGAACGTTTTGCTTTTACTCTGCCTTCATGTAATCATGAGGAGCCTGATCAAAGGTTTGAATGGGTGGTTTTGCCTCAAGGCATGGCCAATAGCCCTACAATGTGTCAAATGTTTGTAGGAGCGGCCATTGTCCCACTCAGACAAAAGTATCCATTGTTGAAGTGTATACATTATATGGATGATATATTGCTGGCAGCCAAGACCAAATATATGTTGGAAGCAGCTTACACTGATTTGGTACATTTATTACAATCAAAGGGCTTGCTTATTTCATCTGATAAAGTACAAACAGGAGATTCTATTGATTATCTTGGTGCTACTATCTCTTGTAAAACTATTACACCCCAAAAGGTAACTCTCAGGACCGATAATTTACGTACCTTAAATGATTTCCAAAAATTATTGGGTGACATAAATTGGATTAGAGGTTATTTACGTATTCCCAATGCTGAATTAAAACCCTTGTGTGAAATTCTTAAAGGTGATTCAGACCTTTCTTCCCCTCGGCATCTTACTGAGGAAGCAAGGTCAGCGCTGCTGAAAGTGGAGGAGGCTATACAACATGCTAGCCTTTGTAGGTTTCAAGAGGATAAACCTCTCCAACTATGTGTGCTCGCCACTGCGCGACAACCTACTGGAGTTTTATGGCAAGATGGTCCTTTACTGTGGATACATCCACGTATGTCCCCTGGAAAATCCCTTGAGTATTATCCTGATGCAGTTGCTTCCTTAGCTATGTCAGGGATACAACAAAGTGTACAATTTTTTGGTTTATCTCCAACGTCTGTGATTGTTCCTTATACATGTCAACAAATTCTGGTCTTATGTGCTAACTTGGATAATTGGGCTATATTACGATGCTCTTTTCCAGGAGAGATAGATAATCACTATCCATCACATCCTCTTATTGCATTTGTTAAGGAACATCCTGTCATTTTCCCTAAAATCACTTCTTCCACGCCTATTCCAGGAGCTGCGAATATCTTTACAGATGGATCTAAGACTGGTATTGGAGCTTATGTGATAAATGATCAACCTCCTATCCAACATCAGTTTGCTCCTGGTAATCCACAATGGGTGGAGCTGCAAATTGTCATAAAAGTTTTTGAACAATGTCCATTTCCTTTTAATTTAATCTCAGATTCTGTCTATGTAGTTCAAGCTTTAAAGGTGTTGGAAGCAGTGGGTCCCATACACACATCAGGAGTAATGTCTTCCCTTTTTCTCCATCTTCAAACATTGATTTGGAATCGTTCCGCCTGTTTTTACCCCTTGCATATTCGAGCCCACACAGGTTTACCAGGTGCTCTTTCTGCGGGCAATGCCCAGGCAGATCTTGCTACTCATCCTTCTTGGGTGTTCCCTATTTCCTCCTTAGATCAAACTGCAGACTTTCATAGTAAGTTTCATATTAATGCACGAGCACTTCAGAAACGTTTTACCATCTCCCGTGCTGATGCTCTACAAATTGTGTTGGATTGTCCTAATTGTGTGATTTTACATCATCCTCCCTCTATAGGCGTAAATCCTCGTGGTTTACGGCCTTTAACTATATGGCAAATGGATGTTACTCATGTTCCTGACTTTGGTAAACTTAAATATGTCCGTGTATCTGTAGATACTTGTTCTGGCATTATCTATGCTTCCGCTTTGTCTGGGGAAAAAGCTGGAAATGTTATCACACACTGCTTGGAAGCTTGGGCAGCCTGGGGCTTACCACAGTCCATTAAGACGGACAATGGTCCAGCATATACTGGGCGACAATTTTCTTCCTTTTGCAGCAAGATGGGTATCCAACTTGTCCATGGTTTACCTTACAATCCACAAGGCCAGGGCATTGTAGAGCGTGCTCATAAGACTCTAAAAGAGATGTTACTAAAACAAAAAGGGGGAATTGGCTTAGGCCACTCCCCGAAAGAGCGCCTCTCCCTGGCTCTATTTACTATCAATTTTTTAAATCTGGACATTCAAGGGCGCTCTGCTGCAGATAGGCATTGTTCGACCTCTGCCCCGAATTTTGGGTATGTTAAGTGGAAAGATGTACTTTCTGGACAATGGTATGGGCCTGATCCCGTGCTGGCATGGGCATGAGGTTCTGTTTGTGTTTTCCCACAGGTCCGAACGGAGCCGGTGTGGATCCCTGAACGGCTAACGAGAAAAGTCTCGAAGACAACTGACCAACAACGGGGGACCCCACAAGAGTCCAATGATGAGACCCTTCATTCTGCTGAGTATCCTGGCCCTATCACAGACGATGATGGTCCAGATGTTACCGATGCAGTGGTGGGCGGTAGCTCGGACATGGCCGATGCCGGTCCATAAAAATTCTAGTGTCCTCCCCACTCTTTTTTTCTACTTCATGTGAGATGTCTGCCCCTTGTGTCTCCCCTAGAGGAGACGGGGAACAGGTTTTCAACCTTTCTCGTGTTAATGTCACGGGAACTTTCTGCTTCAGTTTCTTGAGAACCCGTTGTATTCGCTTACAGCGCAACAATTTGTCCAATTGGGAGGACCCCTTACAGAACAGTAGGGTCTCACTGGGAACCTTGTCTGCGGTGCTTAGCCAAGTGAGTAGTGGGGTACAGGAGGGCTCAGGAGAGACTACAAATTCGACCAAAATGAATATCACCACTTTGGCTATAACTTCCCAGGTGTCACTCCCGGTGGCTTTTCCTAACGCTAGTAATGCCACTTATTTTAAGGCCTCTCCTTATTGTACCCCGTACTATTCTTTCCCCCCGACATTCACGCCTTGTCAAGATCATTCTTGGGAGAAGCGCCAAGTTGCTGTGGGTTTCTCTCTTTCCCCTTCTCTTAAAAGGTATTTGTATAACTCTTCCAAGGCTAATTCCACTACAGGAACAGGCTGGTCTTGGTTTCAATGGTTGATTTCCAATGAAAAGGGGGCCACAGCCGATGTCTCTGCTCTGGCTCAATTGAGAGGAGTCCAGAGCTGGCTGTTTAATGTGTCTGGCTCTGTACAGGACACTGATAATGGTAGGAGGCTTAAAAACATTTCATACAATTCTCAGGTGTCCAATGCTACACTGCCCTCTGCAGCAGTCTGTCTTTATTCTCCGTTTCTGTTCCTTTTGACCAATGATACCAATACTACAGGATCAGAAATGATTGACTGTTCTAATTGTACATGTGTCTTATCTGAGTGTTGGAATGGATCTTGGAGCACGGCAGTTGTTATGAAGGTCCCGACTTTCGTCCTGATTCCGGTTACTGCGGATCCGGACTCCTTCCCTATTATTGAGGTGCTCAGGTGCCGTAGGGATTTTGGAATCATGGCAGCTATTGTAACAGCGGTTGCAATATCTGCTGCTGCAGCGGTCACTGCCGGAATGGCCATGGCTAGTCAAGTGCAGACTGCGGCCACGGTTAATCAGGTCATCCAACAAACTTCCAGCATTTTAGAGTCTCAAAGTAAAATCAATCAACATATTTTATCAGGAATTTTGGCCGTTAATCAAAGGGTGGATCTCCTCCAAGCTCAGATTGAGGAATTGTCAGACCTAGTACATTTGGGTTGTGTTGATCATCGTGCACATCTATGTATAACATCTCTCAGATTTAATGATTCCAGAAATACCTCTCAAATCATTGGACAGTACTTGGCCGGAAACTGGTCCATGGAAGCAGAGAAGTTGATCCAGACCCAACTGACACAAATTGCCATGTTGAACAACACTCGTGTGGACCCTGTGACATTGGGCCAATTTACGAATTGGTTGTCTTCTGCCTTTTCTTTCTTTAAGGAATGGGTGGGAGTAGGCATTTTTGGATCGATATGTTGTTTTGGGATTGTCCTTTGTCTGTGGCTTTTCTGTCGCCTAAGAGCTCGCCATAGCTAAGAAAAGGCTATGATCGTCCAGGCTTTTGCAGCCCTAGAGAATGGTATCTCTCCACAAGTTTGGCTTGCGCAACTTAAGCAATAATTTCCTGGGTTTTGGCCATTGCACCCCAAGTCATCTTTGACATTGCACTGGGTTTGGCATGCCCTCCTCTTCCTGCCTTCCCAGTTTTGGAAGGCCCATGCACTCTGCAGGTCTTGTTGCCATTGCACGCAGGTGGGCTTCCATGCTGGTGCTGCACTTTATGCTTTGGACCCTTCGTTTTTTCAAGGGCTGAGGGATGGTGTTGCCACTTCCAACCTTATAGTTACTGACTGGCTACATGTAAAATCCCCTTTCTTTTTCACCGTCATCACGATGCAGGATGCTAGGCAAGGCACTGCACTTGAGTGATCCCTCAATGGACCTCAAGGAAAGCATGTCCTATTGCATGCGGGTTTGACGTCCACGCCCCGCCCTATGAAAAAAGGCGTCGGCTGATATGGGACCAGGTCTAGGGAAGGGCCCTCCTTAGGACTGAACCATACACTGCAGCCACTTCTGCACAGTGGGATAGGACCTCTACTTTCGCCTGCAAGGGGGAACTGTGGTAAGCCATTCTTATAGACCGTGGCCGCCATTAGAAGATGGCACCGGCTTCCACTGTGGCCTGTGATAAACAACTCCTTTTTTGGAGAGTTGGCGCGCAATCCCTTACCACCCTATGAGAGAGATCCACGTGGCAGCTTGGGATTGGTATGCGGGAGGCTTTATTAGGCTGTGCTTGGGCGCTCGGCGGGGGGGTCACTAGAAGATGATACATGAATCAAGGCCTGAATAAACTGCTGAAAGAAGAATCCTGTGTCGTGTTTTCCCTTGCCGGCGAGGGGTCGCGACAGTTTATTATAAATATATCTAAACCATTAATTTTTGCAGCTTTCAGGTAAAGTCCAGCACTTTGTTTATACAAAGTCTATGAGAAGAGGTCAGTAGAGATCATCTAATCTTAAGTCGTGACATCATCCATTCAAGTCCTTGGCATAATCCCTCGCCAGTAAGAGCACAGCATGCCTGGATATGCCACTGATGATCTTTAATAGAAGTTAGCTTCAAAAACTGGGAGATTTCTGCTACACTCATGCATTCTTTAACGTCTTGTTTATTAGCAAAAATCAGTAATCCAGCTTTTCTTAGGTCCTCATGTGCTAACATTTTGTAGAGTTCTTCTCTAGTTACAGAAATCCTCTCTCTGTCTGTACTGTCCACAACTACTATTACAAACTCCGTGTTAGTATAATAAGTATTCCAGGAAGAACGAAGAGATTCTTGGCCACCAATATCCCACATTAGGAAACGTGTATTATTAATCACTATCTCTTCTACATTACTTCCTATTGTAGGGGATGTATGTACAACTTCATTCATAGAAAATTGGTAAAGGATGGTAGTTTTTCCTGCATTATCCAATCCAACAATGATAACTTTGTGCTCCTGGTGATTGAACAGTCTCCATATCCTGGTGAAGAGAATTCCCATTCTCGGGCAGCGGACCCCCTCCAGCCACCCGGGCTGCCTGGCCTCCCTTGGCTCAGGCTAAAGGGTAGAGAGACACACTGAAGCCTCCGCCTCTGCTGCTGCTGCCGTTCCCGCACTGGCCACCGGCCCGCTTCCAGGGAACCGGGGGGAGGCCAAAACCGAGGCCGCCCTGCCGTGCGCGAGGCCCCACCACTGCCGCCGCGGCACTCGCCTGGCTCGCAGACATCGCCGCCGCGTTGTCTGCGATGAGCCTCGCGGGCCACCGTCCTCCCATTCAGAATTTCTTGATTCAAAACTTATTGGGACTTAGAGTTTCAGCCCTGATATATAAACATCTTGGAAGTCATCGCTCCTCCTTACAACAGAAAAAGTTGGTCAAACTGAAAATCAATGACAGTTTCTTTCTGTTACAGGAATGGGACCTTCTAAAAAACTGAAGCCACATGAAGACACCCCCACTGTATATGTCAAGAGCTTTGTAATATTTTGAACAACTAATAAAAAAAAAGACACCAGCACTTGGAAGCACTGAGTCTTGTGATCAAATCATAAAGATTTTAGACATGTTGCTCAGAGTAACAGGCAATGAGTTTATTAGGACTAGGAAAGGGGACACCCTCAAGGGAAAGGGGGACAGTGTGCCTCTCCTGCACTTGAGTTTTATTTGTGATTCCACAGAAATTTCCAGAGAGTCCCACCAAAGTCCACCTCTTGACTTTTGACTGACAACAGATTGACATCAGACTTTCAAGTCCCCACTGCCATGACAACTCTAGGTCACCTTGGCCCATGCTGACAGTTCTAACTTGGATATTTAACCTTAAATTCTTAAAGTCAAGAAGGGCTGCGGGTAAATTGTGACATTATTTTAGGCCTGCATTTGTCCTGCAGATAACAGATAGTTTGCTGAGGAATGTGACATATCCTGTCCACTTAAGCCAGGCAGAGCTTCAGGTAAATTGCTTCTTGGAAAAGAAAGCATGTGGGGGTCAGCACAGTGGGCCCATTTTATAGAATTATTCCCTTATCCTCATGTTCCCATCACTGGCATCCGTGTGTCCCCACTCACTTCTATGTTTCTGAGAACTGAGGTCACAACAGTGTAATCTGGTGATAAAGACATACCCAGAAATAGCTGAAATCTGTTTGTTTGGAGCAGAAACTACTGGAGCCTTAAACTGGTGGGAAAACTTAAATGGTAATTTTGATGAATTGCCATATGTTGAGTATGTAACAGATTGAAAGTGTGAGAACCTGCTGGGGCCCACAGTCTTATGGGATTCCACCATACTTCCATTGCAAACTAGATTGAATTCCAGTTGGTTCCAGGAACCCAACTATATTCACATAGTGATGATCTGAGAAATATCAGCTCTGCAGCAGGTGAGTAACTGTTGTGAAATATACCCAGTCTTCACCATAGGGTGGGTGGGGGGTGGGGAAGAGAACTACAGTTCAGCAGGGGGAGAGTTTGCTAGATTCTTAGGCTTACTGGGGGAAGGACATTCCTTCCATTTTTCTCCCTCTAACCTTCAAGGACAGATTTGGGGATGTTGCAACCAAGAAAGAAAGGCAAGGAGGCAAAAAGCTGTACCACCAGAGGGACACCTGAGCAAGTCCCAGCCACTACATGGACACACAGACACTCAGACTTAATTGGAAGGTGTAGAATGCACTCCACAACTTGCACCCATACAAATAGTCCACTATAACACTAAATTACACAGAAAGAGCCACAAGACACAGACCCTCCTTGTGGAAAAGTAGTTAAAGTTAAAGTGATGATAAAAACAAAATGCCAGAGGAATTTGAAGGCTCTTGCACCTATGGCTAGCCAATTCTCAGCCTAGTAAACATGAAGCTAGCAGCATATTAGAAGGATCGTATAGCATGATCAAGGGAATTTACCCCAGAAATGCAAATCATTGATTGATTTTCCATATATGAAAATCTATGAAATATAACAGAGCAAAGGGAGAAAAACATGTTTATCTCAATGCAGAAAAAGCATTTCACACTCCAACAGACTTCCATGATAAAGGAACTGAACTAACTAGGAATAGAAGGGAACTTCCTTAACATGGTCGAGGACTCTTATGTAAAACACACAACTAACATCATACTCCAAACTTTTCCCCAAAGATCCTGAGTATGACAAGTGTTCATTTTTTGCCACTTCTACTCAACATTGTACTGGAAGTTCTACCCAGAGCAGTTAATCAAGAAAAAAGAAAAGCCATCCAAACTAGGGAAAATTTAAAAAAAAAAAAGAAAAGAAAAAGAAGAAATAAAACTATATTTGTAGGTGATATGACTTTACATATAGAAAGCCCTAAGTATTCCTAAGAATCAAATAGAGCTCATAAGTGAGTTTAGCAATTTTGTAGGATACAAGATCAACATGCAAAAAAAATTATTTGTATATACTAGTAATAATCAACCTGAATAGGAAATTAATGAAATTTCTTATACAATAGCATCAAAAAGAACAAAATACTTAGGAATAAATTTAATCAGTAAGGTGCAAGACTTATACTCTAGCAATCAAAACAATGTGGTTTGATGCATAAAGCTAAATATGTAGATCTATAGAGAGCCCCGAAATAAACCTACACATATAGAGTCAATTGTTTTAATCTCTTCAATTAATTTACTGAGATAACTGAATACACTAAAGAATGAATCTGGATCCCTACTGCATCAAAATTAACTTTGAGTGAAACAAAACTTGAATGTAAGTGCTAACACTAAAAAATCTTAGAAGGAAACATAGCCAAAGATTTGCATGACTTGAATTAGATGAATTTCCTAGGTATATCATAAATCAGACTTCATCAAAATTGAAATCTTTTGTGTATTAAAAGACACTGAGAATAAAATACAATCCAAAGAATATGGCAAGTATTTGAAAGTTTTATATCTTCTAAGTGCCTCCCATCTGAAACATATAAAGAAATCTACAACAAAAACACCAGTTTATTTAAAAATAAGCAAAGAGCTTCAATGGACATTTCTCCAAAGAAGATATACTAAGAACCAATAACCATATGAACAGAACATTATTACTCATAAAAGAAATGCAAATAAGAGCCACAATGAGATATCACATCATACCCATTAGGATGTCCATTATTTATAAAAAAAAAAAAAAACAGAAAATAACAAGTGTTAGTGAAGATATGGAGAAATTAGAATTCTTATACATGCTAATGGAAACAAAAATGGTGCAGTTTCCATCACATACACTATGGTTGTTCCTCCATAATTTTAATACAAAATTATCAAATGACCCAACAATTCTTCTCCTAGGTCTATACCCATTTGATTGAAAACACATGCCCACACAAAACCTGTACACAAATGTCCACAGCAGCACTATTCACAAATACCAAAAGATGTAAACTACCCACATGTCTATCACTTGATGAGTGGATAAACAAAGTGTGGAATAGCTATACAATTGAATATTATTCAACAATCAAAAGGAATAAAATATTAACACATGTTATGACTCAGAACCTTGTAAAGATTTTGTCAAGTGAGAGAAGCCAAACACAAAAGGCCACATGTTATCTGATTCAATTTATGTACCATCTTCTGAATAGGTAGATGAGGGTTTGTGGGAACAGAGGAACAGGGAGAGATTACATAAGGGTGCAAGATTTTCTTTTGAGGATAATGAAAATGTTCTAGAGCTAGACAGTGGTAATGGTTTTTCAACATTGCAAATGTGGTAAATGACAATGAATTGTAAACTTAAATTTACTAAAATGGTGAATTTATGTCACCTGTACTTTACTAAAATAGTGATAATAAAAGGGCACAGTAATTAGTAGGTATTCAACATATAGAAGTAATAATAATAAAGGTGATAACTATTCCATTTCTTATTTGAAAATTCTCTTTTAGTTTAAAAAAACTAAATAAATTAATCATTTTTTGGTCTTGGCATCATGCAGGCAGAACTCTCAAAAGGAATATTGTCTAGACATGAACTTATCTATAATAGTAGCCACTTTTCATTTATGGTTTTTATATTTGCAATTTTCAATTAAAATTTAGTTTTTTACTTGCACTAGTAACAGTTCAAATTTCAATATCCGGTGGCTACCATTTTGAGTAAAGCAGATAGAAAAGGCACTTCCCTCACTGTGGGAAGTTGTATCAAACATTCCTGGTCTAGACCCAGAGATTCTCTCTAACAGTAAATCCCTCCTAAAGCAAATGTCTCAAGTCAAGCAGAATTTCCCAGTGCTGGCAAACAGGCAGCAGTAGTCTCCCGTTCCCTTCTCACCACATCAATTGGCTTCCGGGTTAGTCAAATTTTCCTTGTGTAACCAAAATACTGACAAACCAACTTAGAGGAGGAAAAGTATGTTTGGGGCTCGTAGTTTCAGAGGTTCAATCTACAGGCAGCTAACTCCAAATTCCATCACTTTGGGCCCAAGATGAGGTGGAACAACATAGCAGAAGGGCAGCAGTGAAAAAAAGTTGTTCACCTCCTGGTGGACAGGAAGCAGAATGAGAAAGGCAAAAGAGAAGCAGGGAAGATGAAGCTTTCGAGGTATACCCCCAGTGACCCACCTCCTCTAGCCAGGCCCCATCTGCCTACAGTCCCCACTCAGTCCATTCAAAGGTGGAATGACTGGTTAGGTTACAGCTCTCACAATCTAATCATTTCACCTCTAACTATTCCTGCCTTAGTGCAAGAGCTTTTGGGAAACACAGTTTATTCAAAACATAAGAGCTTCACAGTCCCTAATGATTTACCTAATGTACCAAGCACAGCGTGACCCCTTTCCTTTCCCAAACCAAATACAATGAAAAAAATTAAATGAGATGAACAGCATCTCTCTCAAACCCAGATACTAATAGAGGGAAGCCAAGAGGCAGGGAGGGGGTTCAGCTTCCCAGGTGACTTAAGATCACTGTTTTAGTTCATTTGATGTGGCTTTAACAGAATACCACAGACTACACGGTTCACAAAGAAATGTATTTCTGACAGTTCTAGGGACTAGGAAGTATGGGGACCACATGCAGAGATGGCCTTCTTGCCATGTCAGAGCATGGCTGAAGGAATCACATG